AGTGAGCTAGCACTATAAAACCAGCTTAAGTCTGGGCTAGTACAAGCAGCCACACATATACATACACACGCATGCACGTCGTCATATGAGCGAAATATTCTAAAGCACGACGCAAAACCCAACGACATCACATTGTGGAGCGACAGTCATCTATCTATAAACCAATCGCCCACCACATCAAGCTGTCGGCCGAAATAAAGTATATATTTGAAAACTTGATTTGACACATAATTCAAAGGTTATCAAAAACAGCAAACTTCAGGTCCAAAACACAATATAACATCTGTGTCAAAATACATCGACATCCAATAACCGTCCATGTTTAACCAGCATACAATGGTGAAAACAGCAAACTTAAGGTCCAAAACACAATATAACATCTGAGTCAAAATACATCGACATCCAATAACCGTCCATGTTTAACCAGCATACAATGGTCTATGTTTTTAGCACGGCAATTTTACACGCATACACAGAACCATGCGTGTTCTTTCAGAATCTTAATCAATTTGACTTTTTTCATGTTTTCTTTCCAAACCTGGTTTAAACTTGCATGTGCAGGGTTGTAATTAAGTTTACTCATGCAAAACGAAATCAGTGAAGTTCGATCTAGGCAGCGATTGCAAATTAATCAGCGAGCGATCACATGTTTGGCCTATGCTTTGTTGGTACTACAGTTTTGTCAGTCAATACTTTCCAGTCCAGTTCAGTTCGGCATATCTGATTACACAGTGATCGATCGCCTGTTTAATTTGTGTACAGACAAACGTATGGCACCAGTCTCCGTAACACGATACATCACATTCATCAAAGATTCATACGTGTGTATACTTGATTGAAGGCGTAAGTCGGGGTAACTTGATTAAAGAATTGATTATCTTTAAACATGCAACCAAGACGAAATAAACTTTACATCTTATTCAACCTTGAAACATTCTATGCAAGACTTTATAGTGAATCCATAACGAATGAGGCTGCATGGACCGCAACAGATTCTTCCCCCGGCCCCGCCCCACGCTCATCCTCCAGACAACACACCCACATGCACCCCGACCACCACGTCACCAATTGCCAGCTATTCAGTCGCCCTAGACCATTTTTCTCAATTCAGCCGCCACAATCCCAAGTGAGTGAGTCTTACGCCGCTTTAGCAATATTCCAGTAATATCACGGCAGGGAACACCAGAAATGGGTTTCCTACATTGTACCCATATGGAGAATAGAACCCGGATCTTTGGCGCGAGGAGTGGACGCTTTAACCACTAGGCTGACCCACCGCCCTCCACATTTCCGAGAAATCACAAGTACTATAGTTCTCTGAAGCAATTCACGGGAGACGGTTACCAGTACAAACAGGGTCTGTTAATTTTAGGGTTTTTAAATTTTATTTCACCCGAAGTCCAAAGATCGACTGTATCGCGACTTTGTGAAGGGTATAGAGGGAACGGGTTGTATTCACAGGTATACCACATACATACACGCACAAACAAACAAACAGACACAAACACAGACACACACTAGTGTGTGCAGAGGGTATAGGATGTAAGGCATAGACATAGGACATGAAGGTCACACACACAAGCACACACACAGACCACCCTCAACAGTTCCATTCATTGCTTGACAATTGGCCATTTATGAAGTAAGACGCAACTGAAATCAATTGAAAATGCTACCCTTGCTAGCATATACATCCATTCATTCATCGCGACAAATATTGGACATACCATGTTTAATGACGTCACAATAGGACGGACACATTAGAACCCCATCACTCACAATCGCTCTCTCCCCTCCTCCCTCTCTCTCCCTCCCCTCTCTCTCCTCTCCCTCTCTCTCTTTCTCTCTCTCCCCTCTCTCTCTCTCTCTATCTCTCTCTCTCTCTCTCTCTCTTTCTCTGTCTCTCTCTCTCTCTCTCTCTCTCTCTCTCTCTCTCTCTCTCTCTCTGTCACACACACACACACACACACACACACACACACACACACAATCATATATATATACTATGTACTGGTCGACATCAAACATGCTTCAGTTTCCCACTAGTCATATATCACCCAGCTAACACACTCATCGAATCCCAACTGAATCATTGTTATCACAAGTTACTCTTAATTTATTCCACCACGCAATAAGTGACACCTGTTATTCAATCCAACAACGCAATTAGTAACTACCCATATCTCAAGCCCACCATACACTTAGGAAAACAGATTATCTATAATCCATAAATATAATCCATAACTCCTGTACGCTCACAATGATCACAGGAGTGACCATTAATGTAAGATCAATGGCGACACTATCATGCATTATAACGTGATGAGACCCGGATATGTTGGTTGGGAAATCGATGAGTCACTTTTATGATCGATTAGTGTTCGATAACGTGATCAGGAAATATGTTGCCGTTGTTTGGGGCAATGTTTGTTTATCTTAGCTGCCTTCACAAACAATGTTCTACTTTGATCCTCCTCTTATGAGGAGATGTCCACGGTTGTGAGGTGTTTGTTTCCAGTATACAGTCGAAACACGAGTCTCTTCACAGTGTTTGTATAATTTATAGTTGTATATGACAACATGCTTTTGCTCTCAAACAACAACAACAATAATAATAATAGTTTGGACAATTAATGTAAAACGTCATTTTCGGTATGGGCAATATTTCAATAACAACTTCACTTTGCCTATGTGGATTATGGGCCATTAAAGGTGCCCAGTACCCACAAATATATAACATATTTCTGTAGACAATGTCTGTGAAAAAAGATCATGTCATCGCAGCATTCAGCAAGAGAAGAGGTGGCTTCTTCATCTTAACAGATTCTGAGACAGTTACTTAAAACGTGTCTCCTGTACGTGTCCTGTACAATATATGTTAACATATTCAGAGACAGAATAAGTGCCCTGTACAATATGCCATGTTACTTAACATATTCAGAGACAGAATAAGTGCCCTGTACAATATGCCATGTTACTTAACATATTCAGAGACAGAAGAATAATATGCCCTGTACAATATGCCATGTGTCCTGTTAACATATTCAGAGACAGAATAAGTGCCCTGTACATAATATGCCATGTTACTTAACATATTCAGAGACAGAATAAGTGCCCTGTACAATATGCCATGTTACTTAACATATTCAGAGACAGAATGCCATGCAGAGACAGAATAGGTGCCCAATATGCCATGTTACTTAACAGATTCAGAGACAGAATAAGTGCCCTGTACAATATGCCATGTTACTTAACATATTCAGAGACAGAATAAGTGCCCTGTACAATATGCCATGTTACTTAACATATTCAGACACAGAATAGTGCCTGTACAATATGCCATATTACTTAACAGTTATATTCAGAGACAGAATAAGTGCCCTGTACAATAATATGCCATGTTACTTAACATATTCAGAGACAGAATGAGTGCCCTGTACAATATGCCATGTTACTTAACATATTCAGAGACAGAATGAGTGCCCTGTACAATATGCCATGTTACTTACATATTCAGAACAGAGGTGCCCTGTACAATATGCCACATTCAGAATAGGTGCCCTGTACAATATGCCATGTTACATATTAACATATTCAGAGACAGAATAAGTGCCCTGTACAATATGCCATGTTACTTAACATATTCAGAGACAGAATAAGTGCCCTGTACAATATGCCATGTTACTTAACATATTCAGAGACAGAATAAGTGCCCTGTACAATATGCCATGTTACTTAACATATTCAGAGACAGAATGAGTGCCCTGTACAATATGCCATGTTACTTAACATATTCAGAGACAGAATAAGTGCCCTGTACAATATGCCATGTTACTTAACATATTCAGAGACAGAATAAGTGCCCTGTACAATATGCCATGTTACTTAACATATTCAGAGACAGAATAAGTGCCCTGTACAATATGCCGGTGTTCCCTTATAGATTCTAGGGCAAAACTGTGTGGCCTGAAGCACAGGCCGATGTTACCTGAGGCCCACTACGAAGCAGAATAAATACCGCGTACAATACACCAATGTCAAGAATGGACTCGGGGGCAAATTGAGTTCCATAAGTGGATTAGTACGCAGATGGGTTTTTTAATAGTATTTTTAGTTTCTTAGTTTCTTCTGGTCAAACGTTTGAGCATAATTATTAAGTTTTCAGTGATACCAAATGTACGTTCCAGGCCTTTGACAATGTAAATCTGCGTTTCGTTTTGGATTCAGGTTTGATGATTTACAGACCTGAGTCTACAATGTTGCTGCGAACAGTATCTGAGTCACTCACTTTCCCTGGGACAATAGTGATGATTTGCCATCCGTACGTGCCATGATTAACAACCGTGAACAATCAGGTTAGAATTGATCTTCAACAACCCATGCATGTCGTAAAAGACGACTAACAGGGTCGGTTGCTCAGGATCACTGACTTGGTTGACACTTGTCATCGTATCTCAATAACGTATATAGATGCTCATGCTATTGACCACTAGATTGTATGGTCCAGACTCTGTTATATACAGACCGCCACCATGTAGCTGGAATATTACTGAGTGTGGCGGTAAACCATAAACAAATATCACAAACGTGAACTGGGGCACTCGGTCTGGACCTCTACCGACATAATTGCCAACTAATATTCTCACACAAAATACACAGGTACAGTTCAAGTCAAACGGTCTCTTTACTGGCGTGCGGTATACAATTCAACACTCATTCAAGAATGTTTTCAATGGAAGGCCGTACCCCCAGTGCTTTGTGTCACGACAAACGTTGCTAGTAACCTTTTCCGACAGCACAATACCGTCCTGCTTAATGCCTGTTCATAAGCTTAACACCTAACCTGGTATTTTGACAACCAGTTTGTCCGAAATCCTCTCACATACCACATGTCAGCCACGGTCTGTCGAACAGGCAAGTGGAGCCTAATCAAACACGCCCATAGTTGTTAACGATTCCTTGAGACACCAACAGCTTCATGATCGGATAGCATATCGACCCTCGCGGAGATAGACGAGTCACCAGGTAGTGGGCGACGCGAGCAGAGGGGTAAGCCGAGAGGGGTAGGTTCCAACCGTCACGCACCTGTCAAGCGGGTATATATAAAGAGACAATCACGCAATCACTATGCAGGACAAGAGGGGGACAATCAGCACGACAATGAGGTCTCGGAAGGTCTGCTTCGACGACTACACCAACGCCTTCTTCGTCGAGAGCAGGCTGGAGACTCTGAAACGCCAGATAGAAACTCGAAGCGGACTGACAGACGTTCTTAACAAGAGTCAAGAGGCGAGATGTGATTTTAAAAAGAGACAATTTGATGCTGCTAAAAGGATCTTTACTCGTAAGAGCTCAATGGCGATGACAGTTCACAGGGACAACTTACAGGAATACAAGGCTCATTGGAATGTGTTACAGGACATTGCTCGGAAGAAACAGCGCGCGGGACTATATGATGAAGATGATATGGGCACGTACGGAGTTGGTTCCAGTAAAGTTGAAATTCAGGATTTAATTGAGAAGAAGATTAAACAGAGTTCACCATCAGCGAAACGACGGAGAGACGCTCGGAAACACTTGAACCACAGAAACAGAGTAGAGGTGTTCGACAGGAATCTCTCTACCTCGGCTCTTCTTAAGTCGAAGGTTAAGAGTCGAACATCGACCAAAGGAGGGGACTATAGAAGTAGGAGAAGTGGAATTGTGTTGCCTCCCATCGCTGTGACTTTCACCAAGAAGGATGGGGCGGAGGTTGGGAACGGCGTTCATATTACTACAAGACCTGCGACCAGTGGACGATACAATGATCTCGGACTCCCGGCAGTGTTTGTTACGGAGACCAACCACGCCGTCTGATGTAGCAACATCGACGACATTTCTCACCACACTTTCAGTATTAGACACAGTTGTGATGACGATGTGTTAAGGACTTGGGGATAACGAAATGATGATGATTCAGTGATGATGATGATGATGATGATGATGATGATGATGACGACGAAGATGACGATGGCGACGACGATGATGATAACAGCTGTGATAGTTACAACACAACGATATTCCACAGGGATTATTTTTTAAAGCAATGACGTTGTTCGAAAAGGATTAAGTGTATTGACACAGATTCTGTTATGTTTGGGCAAACTTATCCGTGATCGTACACTTTCACGACGATTAATTGAGACCTTGGCAGACCTTGTGTGGCTGTTATCGCAAACAGTTTTTAACTAGGATGCAGATGTAAGTGTGTAATTGTGTAGACACATGCAACATCACGATTGCACTGACAACTCACGAGTTCGACCCTCGTTACGCCGCTGATCTCAATTACCTGGACATCTAACCCTCAATGATGCTCCCAGTTTCGTTAGTCTGTACCCTTGTTTATGTGTACAGCTGTTGGTAAACAGTAAGAGTTTGGATTAATGAGGATAAATCGTATGTTGTGCCATTAGGTAACTTGCTCGGTCTGTTACTGTTGTTGACGATATTTGTCTTAACTACTGTATACAGTGAGTGAGTGAGTGAGTGAGTGAGTGAGTGAGTGAGTGAGTGAGTGAGTGAGTGAGTGAGTGAGTGAGTGAGTGAGTGAGTGAGTGAGTGAGTGAGCGAGTAGTGAGTGAAACCAGAAATAGATTCACGCACTGTACCCATGTGGGGAATCGAACCTGGATTTTCGGCGTGACAAGCGAACGTTTTAACCACTAGGCTACCCCACCGTGAGTGAGTTGTGTTTGATTGAGTGAGTGAGTGTTTTGAACAGTGCTTCATTATATCACAGCATGCCAGCGTAATATGGGTTGAAAACCAGAAGTGATGCAGGTTCTCCCACATCAGTTGAGGTGTCATGCCTTCTTCAAGGTTTACCTTTATCAAGGGAATATTCAGAATATTCAGAATAGCTCCCCAGTACTGCTTCCCATAATAGCCTACAAAACCTGGACTGTATGGTTAATGCTGTCTTTGGCTGATGGCGGTACGAGGTCAAGACACCGTCGTTAACAACAGTGCGACGTGTAACGTTACAGTTACTTTTTCTTGATAGTCTTGGGCACAGCCTGGTGTATGCTTCGAGAACTGGCGCAACCGTATTGTGTGGATATACCATATTCTCGCATGTGATACTTTTAGCAATTTATTGACTTTTACACACTTACCACGCAGTTTTTGTATGCTGAACTCTTGCCAAATATATTTCTATCTGTTTAGAAAACATGTTTTGTTTTCAATCACAGGAATATTTTGGAAAAATGGTTACCCAAATTTGTCACTTAAAGAAGATCAGGCACATAAAATGGTTAACTTTACGGACCAAACAATGCAGATACCAGATTTTAGATACCAATATAACTGGGTTGTAGCGAAAAGGGTATGTGGTACCTTGGATTTGGACAGAATGCATTTCAATATATGATCTCTTAAGACAAGTCACGAACACCTTTTGGTCTCATGGGCCTGAACTATGCGTTATCTACCATATGTAGCAAGCACATTAATAATTTGTAATTTATTAAGTTGACCATCGAATGATTCACTAGAATTCATTATATACCTTAAAGACATTTGCTGCGTTCGGAATCTGTTAAATGATTGTCAAAAACTCTTTCAGCCCCGCTTTCTTGAAATAGTGAGTGAGTGAGTTTTAGTTTGCGTCGATTTTAGGAATATTCCAGCAACATCACGGCGGGGTGCACCAGAAATGGTCTTCACACACTGTACCCATGTGGAGAGTCGAACCCGGGTCTTCGGCGTGACGAGTGAACGCTTCAACCAGTAGACTACCCCACCGCCCCTCTTGAAGTAGAGTCTAAATTCGCTACCAAATGGGTCGCTTCATTAGGAATGGTCTCAGAATCTCTTGTCAATATGATTTCCTCAAAATGGCTTGTCATACCATCATTCCAGTTGCGGTGGAGTAGCCTAGTGGTTAAAGCGTTCGGTCGTCACGCCTAAGACCCGGGTTCGATTCCCCACATCGGTACAATGTCCCCCGCCGTGATGTTGCTGGGATATTGCTAAAAGCGCCGTAAAACCATACTCACTCACTCACTCACTCACTCACTCACTCATTCACTCATTCGAGTTTTCATAAACATGCAAACAACCTGAACCCTAATTACTACTTTAAAAACACCTTTGCAAATATCGCATACACTGTATGCACTGTGTGCGTTCATTGTGTTTTCACTTCAGTGAAAATTCTAATTAGGTATGACAATAGAACCGTTAACACTTTAAAACGTCATTTGACGTCACGGCTGGATTAATCACAGTACAAAGCCATAAAACTTTGACTTTTTTCACTCCAGCCTTCGAACTAAACCACCCGTCTTTTGACAAGCCATATAACTCCCAAAGGTGTTAAAAAGCAGTGTAATTACAAGTCATATGTAATATTTATTCAGACTCTCAGTTTAAAGTGTGAGAACGCTGTTGGTTTGCGTGCAGGATAGGTACAACTGACACCGGGAGAGAGCAAAGGGCCTTAATCAATTAAACCTGGCATCAGTGATGCAGATCAGAGCCTCACTCTTTGGTTTAAATATTCAAAGAGGAGCAAGATGCATTTATTTCTATGGGAATTGTTTTGGCGAGGAACGTGGCGCGCTGGCAACGTCGTTGTAGCAACATTTACACAATGGTTGTGACTTGTAAGTCACAATCAAAACACTTTCAAACTCTTCACATTTGTTTTTTTGCAAACAACCCCGAAACTGCAGTTCTGTGTACTTTCTTTTGCACGTTAGAATTTTAGCTCCGATTTATGTTGTCTTATCTTGATTTGTTTGGGAGTTTGGTTTTTGTTTAAATTTTGGGTTGTTGGGGTTTTGGGGGTTTTGGGGGTTAAAAGTTTTTGGGTGTTTGTTTGTTTTTGTTGTTGTATTTTTGTTGGGGGCTGAGGGGGAAGGGGCTGTTGTTTTGTTGTGTTTTTATGCATATATTTTGTTTCATGTGATTTTTTTATGATTATATCGAAAAAATGCAAGGCAAAATGCATTCCTTAACACTAATGTTCACACATGTGCAACGTTTTGGTACAGCGAAAGGCAACGATGACATGATAGTTGGACATACTTCAACACATACTCCGCACCTGTTTAACACACAGCAGACACACACAGCAGAGACAGGTGTGTTTATACGGCAGATACCTCTGTTGTCCTGCACTAACATACACGGGGAAGAAAAAAGGGTTTCATAGTGAACACCGATACATGCTGTCATACTGGGAGAGGGGTTCGGGATTATATTTTCCATTTACTTTATTATAAAGATAAAGTAAGTGACCTGCATGTACCCGTAGACAGACGCGTTATACCCGGCACGTACGACATGAACTCAAAAACATGTACATATTAAGCCTATCCCTTTCCCCGCCCACCCCTTATATATTCAACTCCGGGTTTGATTCCCCACATGGGTAGTGTGTGAAGCACATTTTTGGTGTTCCCTGCCTTGAGATTGGTGGAATATTGCTAATACAAAAACTAAACTAGTCGTAAACTTAAACTCACTCACTCACTCACATATTTAACTTTAATATCAGAAGCATGTTTAAACACATGTATTCCAGGGCCCCGCTCCTCAAAGCGACCGTAGCGCTAAGATGATCGTAACTCCCATACTTTAACATAGACTTACGACAGTCGTAGCGCTACGATCGCTTTGAGGAACTGGACCCTGTATTGCAACTCAAATTACACTTTTACAGGATTCAGAGGTTTGCTCTGTATTTAAATATGCTTTGTAGATCTGTAACAACCTGAGGAAATAAGCGAACAAGTTAAATCATCCCTCCCTTACCAATCCTGGCTCAGTTCGGGCCAAGATTCTTGTCGCATGCCACGTTGGAAGCCTTGTAAAAATTCATATCGATAAACAATGGAGTCAGTCAGCGGGACATCAGGGAACCATACAAGTGAATAGTGATCTCACCACGTGTTGAAGTGCTGTCGGATGACCGTTATCATGTCATAAATAATCCCAACATAATCACTCCCAGGTGTAAAGTGACATCGCGACAGACACCTCAAGACGACTGTAACACCGCCCTTAACAACGTCGCAGCAATGCCCTGTTGTTATCAACGACGCCGTGCATAGCTCGGTAACTGTGAGGAAAGCGAACATGTGATAATATATAAATATGTTCCTCTGCAAAATCACTTTCTTTTTTTTTCATTAGTGTTTTGTGAGTGTTTTTCTACCCTCGCCAATAGCGGAACATTTTCCAAGTCTGTTGTCAGGAATTAATATCATACGAATATCAAAGTTTTTATATTTCAACAGCCTACTGGTTAGCTTGTTTCGCCGAAGGCCCGGGTTCGAGTCCTCACTTGAAGCTGGTGTCCCCCGCCGTGATATTGCTGTAATAGTGTTAAAAGCAGAGTCATACCCAACGCACTCACTCACTCACTCACGCGACAATATCACCGGCTCCACCCTTAAATACAATAGCGATAAAAAACAAAAACAATTTTGGTTTGACCCCCCAAATTACCAACCATGATAAGAACAATTAAGGATTAATTCAGATTCTTTTTTGTCTTTAGCCATCAGCAAACGTGGGTTCAGACTTTCTTTTGCACGGCAGTTAAATGGCCAATTTTCTCCAGATACATAAAGTTTGTCCTTGTCTGACTCTCCAACTTCTCAAAATGCCACTCAAAGAAGACCTCGCTTTATGCTTTGATGTGTTTGGCCACCCTGCCATGGCTGTCATCCCCTCCGTCGCCCTACCCACCCCACCAAAGCCCACCCGGTCATATTCACCATTAACTAAAATCAACACTTGCACGTGTCCCGTGTCCTGATTGTAAGATTAGATCCCCGTTCACATTTTATGGCTACCCAAACTGTACCTTAAACACGTATCACTCCACATTTTATCTCACCTGTAATCAAACAGACCTTTTGTTGAGTGGACAATGTTCAAACTTGTTCGGAACAATTGAAAACAATCCTTCGGGTTTTTTCTCAATATATCGTATTACCTGTTTCAGAAATAACTCATTCATTGTACAAGCCTTTAAGACGGCAGAGCAATTCACTCCTTTGGGGGCGTGTTCGATTAGATAAACTAGCCCACCTGGGAATGTTGAGTGTTGTCTCCTAAACTCGTCCTTCAAGAGGGTCCACTCGATCAGTGCTATCGCATGACCAAAGTTACTTAAGACTATGTTGACTTTCCATTTACCCACTAACTTGAATGATATAAGAAACATACATTGTAGACTATAGTTTGGCATGAAATGCGTGTGGACCAGGTTTTTTGTTAATATCTCTTCAACAGATGACCCAATCGATCTCAAACTGTGCAAGTGGATGTTTTGTCAAACAACCTAATCACATTGTAAATCACCGATTTTATGCATTTGTATTAAAGAATTTGTCTATGTAACTGTCAACAAAATAAACAGCAGAACGCAAACTGCTTGCAGAGGGAGGGAGCCAATGACCTGTAACAGCGACAAAACTTCAAAATGCCAACTAAAGGGGAATACCCAGATACTATTCTTTCACTTCGAGACAAACGAAGTTCGACTCATCAGAGTTCGACACAACGGTTATGTACTTTAACCTGTTACGATTTCTATTAATACATATGTTCGAAATGTTTTTTCCCTAAACATTTCCTTATCTTGTCAACAAATGAAACTTATTTCGATTTAGAAGTCTCAACCGACTACAAGGTGTGTGGAGCATAGCTGAACAAATGTTGATGTATCCCAACGCCTAATGCAGCAAAATAGTAACAACACACGTCAATCAACGATCCCGGATTTTGTGCTTTAATGAAGCTGAAATAATCTGTTACTTACACCGCCTCGTAATACTCCAAGCAGTCCTAGCCAGAGGCGATCACCGCAGCTGGCTCAACACTATACCTTCTTTGAAAGGTACCCCATTTGTTCACCAGTTAAAGAAATATTCCTAGCCCTTGTTTCCAATTCTAGGAATGATTCAGAGTGAGAGCTATGTGCTACTTTCAATAGTTTTTCAGCCAGTGAAGATCCGTGTTGGAATTGATCTTCAGTAACCCATGCTTGTCGTAAGATGCGACTAACGGGATCGCGTGGTCAGGTTCGCTGACTTGGTTGACACATGTCATCGTATTCCAACAACGTAGATCAATGCTCATACTGTTGATCACTAGATTGTCTGGATTCTTTACATACCGCCTTCATAATGCTGGTATATTGCGTGGCCATAT